ATTAAGTTTAAGGGTGCCAATACTTTTGTCCAGCCCATTTTTTTTGGGTTTTTGTGTGACATTATGTCATATTTTGCTTTTCTGCCTCTGTTTTATATTTGTTCCAATACATACAAAGGGAATAAACATGTGTATAGCAAAACATGTGTTTAATGCAATACCTTTTTTGTGTGAAATACTTGATTTTCAGGAAAAATATCAAGGGTGCCAACAATTTCGGCCATGACTGTACATGGTCAGAGTTTATCTCAGATCTGGAGATCTCCCCGCCATTTCACGGATTCTGTTATGAAATCTTATCTGCACTGAGTACACAGCTGTGTAATGTTTCTTTAATCAATGTTTGTGTTCGGAGCAATGACTTGGCTTCTTTCACCCGATTCATAACGGCGGAGCGTGGCAGGCTGCTGACGCCACAGACACAGAAAACGGCGGGTGGGAGATTGATTGGGATGATGAAATAAAAAACGCTTGTCTCCCCTCCCACATCCATGTCTGTAGCTGCTAAAAAACATCTGGAAATAAAATATTCCAGACCAAAGGGCCTCCAAGCTCCCGGCATCAGCAATATGTCAGAGACAAACACAGCTTCTAACCGCAAGTGACTATACAAAGTGTGAACTGTATGGAGATAACAGTTTGTGAGTCCATTTTTGGGTCTTTGTTCTCAAAAGTGACAGTTGGTATACGATTTTCTGTATAGATAATCATTGATGCATGACGCAGGATTTGTAGAGCACGATGGATAAGCTAAAGGAAGGAGCACGGCTGAAGTACTTCCTTTTAGTCACTTCTCTCTGATTGAAACCTCACATGGAGCAATGCAGAGAGAGGAAGGACCTCTAGTCGGTTTTTATTGCTGTCCATGGAGATTTCTCCTTATTTCCTGTTCTTGTTACATGAGATGAAGTCAGGAAGGGGCAATCACCCCATTGGGAATATAGGGTAACACAAATGAAGGCTAAACCCCCATCACATTTTTATTGTATCTCTGTACTTGTTACCAGGACAGGACGTGAGAAGAAATCTCTCTAGTGGCAGTGAAAAACACCAGAGGTTCTAATCCTTTAACCACTCCATCCATGCTCTAGAAACACTTTAAGAAAAGAGACCATACCATCACCATAGTTGTACCCCAGCGTCCTGCTCCTGTAGGTGGCCATATCAAACCCATCCATCATGAAGAGTGTCCTTCAATGGATTGAAGAGAAATGGACACTGAAGGCGTTCACAGCTGTAAGCGTGTTCCAGCATGCTGGATGACGTCTGTGACCTTCACTAACGACCCCTCACAGCGCCCTTCACCAGAGATGGTACAAGACTGCCTGGGGACATTTCTGGCCTCACCTCCTAACCGTCCATGAAGAAGACGGGAGGAGGAGATCTGAACGTCTCCACCAGAAGGCCAGAACCTGTGAAATGGTCTTTTGTGGTTTTATGACCGAATCAGGAGAATCAGCAATTCACAAATTGGACTTCTAGAATGTTTTACTTGAAGCATTTAATAAATCTCTGCTCCTTCCTGGCCCAACTGACATTTTCAACATTTTTGTTTTTTTTGCATTTCCACACATTCCCCAGTACAGTGCCCTGGTGGGGAGCACACCCAACTGGGCAACTCAACAGCTAGAGCGGAGAGTCAGTGGTAGCAGGCTGGAGGGAGCAGGGGACAGTACCTGTCAAGGAGAGCAGACTGCAGCCTGGCTGGTCCAACCCATGAGGGAGCTTGCTGAGATACAGATGTGGACCCTAAGCTCCTCTGGAGTGTCTCCCCACTGCTGTGTCCATGACAGACCGGTATCCTGCCCCTACACTAGCCACTCGCAAAATGTAAGCAAAAACCCAGGGGCAGAACGTAAAAAGACTCTGTGTGACCCAAGATGGCTGCCAGGGTCATCTGGATGCAGCGTAGCCAATCAGCATACTACCCCAGGGGACCGTGGGAATCACTTTCTCTTGACTTCCTCCCCCAGCAGCACTGCGGTTCCAAACTAGCGCCACCTGCAGTGGAGAATGTAGACTGCACCTGCCTACCAGCTGGCGATGAAATGTCATTTGCTGGCAACTTAATAATTTTTTTAAATTTGTAAATGTTACTTTTATTGTAGCACATCCTAAAGAAAAGAATGAAAAAAGTTATACAGCGTCCCCCCAAAATTTTATGCCAGACCCTTTGAGTCTTGTATGGATTAAAAAGGTGTGAAGTCCTTAAAATCCACACCAGACCCTAAACCTAGCATGCAGCCCAGCTACCCGGGAAAGGGGAAGAAAAGTGCGCCTCCCCCCAACCCTCCTAAACCATACCAGGCCACATGCCCTGGAGGGGTACCTTGTCCCCACGTGGATGAGAACAAGGGCCCTTTCCCACAGCCATGGCAGGTGGTGGTGAAGCTCTGTGGGGTGGGGAGCTTATGGGAATCTGGAAGACCTCTTTAATAATAAACGGTCCCCCAGATACCACCATCCCCCCACGGGAATGAGTATGGGGTACATAGTACCCCTTACTCATTCACAAAAAAACAGAATGTAACCTAAATATAAAAGCTCCCCAAAATTTGACAAGCCCCCTAATAGAAAAAATAAAAATGTCCCTCATAAATCCATCATCTGCCGCTCACCAAAAACAAAACCCGGCGACCTGGCTACACTACGGATCCTGGAGGTACCACAAGCCACATGACAGTCTGGCTAAATGGTCACTGTGATGTCACTGTGATGTCACTGCTATGCCCGCTCCTTTGTGTACATGGCAGCGGAATCCGGAAGCCTTCGTCCAAAGGCCCAAACAGTCAACGTTCGATCCGAACCCAGGCTCAGAGCAAATCATCATTATTCCCCTCTTACAGTGATGGTCAAATGCCCCCCTTACAGTGATGGTCAAAATGCCCCCCCCCTACAGTGATGGTCAGAATGCCCCCCCTTACAGTGATGGTCAGAAAATCTCCCATACAGTAGTAGCCAGAGTGCCCCCCTTACAGTGATGGTCAAGTGACCCCCCCTTACAGTGATAGAAAATGCCCCCCTTACAGTGATCATGCATAATGCCAGAATGCCCCCTACAGTGATAGAATGCCCCCTTTACAGTGATAGTCAGAATGCCCCCCTTACAGTGATAGAATGCCCCCTTTACAGTGATGGTCAGAATGCCCCCCTTACAGTGATGGTCAGAATGCCCCCTTACAGTGATGGTCAGAAAATCTCCCATACAGTGGTAGCCAGAGTGCCCCCTTACAGTGATGGGTCCAGAATGCCCCCCTTACAGTGATGGTCAGAATTTCCCCCATACAGTGGTGTCAGAATGCCCCCTTACAGTGATGGTCAGAATGCCCCCCTTACAGTGGTGGTCAGAATGCCCCCTTACAGTGGTGGTCAGAATGCCCCCCTTACAGTGATGGTCTAATGCCCCCTTACAGTGGAGGCCAGAATGCCCCCCTTACGGTGGTGGTCAGAATGCCCCCTTACAGTGATGGTTAGAATGTCCCCCTTACAGTGGTTGTCAGAATGCCCCCTTACAGTGATGGTCTAATGCCCCCTTTACAGTGGTGGTCAGAATGCCCCCTTACAGTGGCGGTCAGAATGCCCCCTTACAGTGGTGGTCAGAATGCCCCCTTACAGTGGTGGTCAGAATGCCCCCTTACAGTGGTGGTCAGAATGCCCCCCTTACAGTGATGGTCAGAATGCCCCCCCTTACAGTGGTGGTCAGAATGCCCCCTTACAGTGGTGGTCAGATGCCCCCCTTACAGTGGTGGTCAGAATGCCCCCCTTACAGTGATGGTCAGAATGCCCCCTTACAGTGGTGGTCAGAATGCCCCCTTACAGTGATGGTCTAATGCCCCCTTTACAGTGGAGGCCAGAATGCCCCCCTTACAGTGGTGGTCAGAATGCCCCCTTACAGTGGTGGTCAGAATGCCCCCCCTTACAGTGGTTGTCAGAATGCCCCCCTTACAGTGGTTGTCAGAATGCCCCCCTTACAGTGGTTGTCAGAATGCCCCCTTACAGTGGTGGTCAGAATGCCCCCCTTACAGTGGTGGTCAGAATGCCCCCCTTACAGTGGTGTCAAATCCCCCGTTAGAGACAGTAAACAGTCCTGCAGCTTTTTCTGGCGTTAGAACCCGAGCAATGTCGGCACCATTAATTGGGCTTCAATCTGCCACAGCTCAAGCACCCTCTTGCATCTCCTGGAGGAACGTTGGTTGAGAATGGCTGCTATAGACACTGTCCTCCTGGAAGAGCCTTCACTCTGGGTTGAGGAAAGGTGGAGAGTGACCTGGCCAATTATAGTGGATCATTCCAGTGTGTCTGAGAAGAGATTGTCCACTTGGTGCCTCACCTTGAAGGCCTCCATCAGCTCCTCTTCATGGGTCTGGTTGGTCTGCCACGGTTTTATTGGCATCCCGGCTTCCATCTGAGCGGAGACTTTCACCAAACACGTCCACGTAGAAGAAGACATAGTCACCATCGTCAGCTTCTCCTTGTGGGCCTGTAGCATGATCTTGTGCAGCATCTCCAGAGGGCCACAGATGTAGATAACTGTGGGAGGAGGAGAACAGAAGAAGGTGATGTTACAACATAGACCTCCATGGAACCACAACCAACACTGCAACTACGAACATATGGTGCCTTTCCCCATCATTGGGTCCCATATACATGGCCCTGTTTATCTTCCCAAACTTCTCTTTGTGCTTGATATAAGAGATATACACTATATTGCCAAAAGTATTGTCCCGCCCCCCCCGGGTCCAAATCATGTGATTCAGGTGCTCCAACCCCTCCCAATCATGTGATGCAGGTGTTCCAATCCCCTCCATATCATGTGATTCCGGTGTTCCAATCCCCTCCATATCATGTGATTTCCGGTGTTTCCAATCCCTCCCCAATCATGTGATTCAGGAGTTCCAATCCCTTCCATATCATGTGATTCAGGTGTTCCAATCCCCTCCATATCATGTGATTCAGGTGTCCCAATCCCCTCCATATCATGTGATTCAGGTGTTCCAATCCCCCTCTATATCATGTGATTCAGGTGTCCCCAATCCCCTCCATATCATGTGATTCAGGTGTTCCAATCCCCTCCATATCATGTGATTCAGGTGTTCCAATCCCCTCCAAATCATGTGATTCAGGCGTTCCAATCCCCTCCATATCATGTGATTCAGGCGTTCCAATCCCCTCCATATCATGTGATTCAGGTGTTCCAATCCCCTCCATATCATGTGATTCGGGTGTTCCAATCCCCTCCATATCATGTGATTTGGGTGTTTCCAATCCCCTCTATATCATGTGATTCAGGTGTTCCAATCCCCTCCATATCATGTGATTCAGGTGTTCCAATCCCCTCCATATCATGTGATTCAGGTGTTCCAATCCCCTCCATATCATGTGATTCAGGTGTTCCAATCCCCTCCATATCATGTGATTCAGGTGTTCCAATCCCCTCCATATCATGTGATTCAGGTGTTCCAATCCCCTCCATGGACACAGGTGTATACAATCATCCCCTAGACTAAAACATGCAGACGGCTTCTACAAACATTGGTGAAAGAATGGGTCGCTCTCAGGAGCTCAGTGACTCCAAGCGTGGTCCCGTGATAGGTGGCCACCTGGGCAATAAGTCCATCCGTGACATTTCCTGGCTACTAAATATTCCACGCTCAACTGTTTAGTGGGATTATAACAAAGTGGAAGCCACTGGGAACAACAGCCACTCAGCCACCAAGTGGTAGGCCACGTCACATGACAGGGCGGGGTCAGCGCATGCTGAAGCGCACAGTGCGCAGAAGTCACCAACTGTCTGCAGAGTCAATAGCTAAAGACCCTCCAAACTTGGTGTGGCCTTCAGATGAGCCCAACAACAGTGCGTAGAGAGCTTCATGGAATGGGTTTCCATGGCCGAGCAGCTGCATCCAAGCCTTCCATCACCAAGTGCAATGCAAAGCGTCGGATGCCGTGGTGTAAAGCACGCCGCCACTGGACTCTAGAGCAGAGGAGGTGGTTTCTCTGGAGGGACCAATCACGCTTCCTCTGTCTGGTCATCTGATGGACATGTCTGGGTTTGGTGGTGTCCCAGGAGAACGGTACTTGCCTGACTGCATTGTGCCAAGTGTACAGTTTGGTGGAGGGGGGATTATGGTGTGGGGTGTTTTTCAGGGGTTGGGCTTGGCCCCCCTAGTTCCAGTGAAGGGGAACTCTTAAGGCGACATTTTGGACAATTTCATGCCCCCCACTTTGTGTAAGGAGTTTGGGGATGGCCCCTTCCTGTTTCCAACATGACTGCCCACCAGTGCACAAAGCAAGGTCCATAAAGACATGGAGGAGCCAGTTTTGGGGTGGAGGAACTTGACTGTCCTGCACAGAGTCCTGACCTCAACCCATAGAACACTTTTGGATGAATTAGAGCGGAGACTGCGAGCCAGGCCTCCTCCCCCGACATCAGTGCCCCTCCCCCGACATCAGTGCCTGACCTGACAAATGTGCTTCTGGAAGAAAGGTCCAACCTTCCCCCATAGACACCCTCCTAAACCTTGTGGACGGCCTTTTCCCAGAAGAGGCAAAGGGGCGGGGCCAACTCAATATTGAACCCTACGGACTAAGACTGGGAGTCCATTAAAGGTCATGTGCGTGAGAAAGGTGCGGGGCCAACTCAATATTGAACCCTACGCGGACTAAGACTGGGGGGGGCATTACAGGTCATGTGTGTGGAAAGGGCGGGGGCCAACTCAATATTGAACCCTACGGACTAAGACTGGGGGGGCATTATGGTACAGGTCATGTGTGGAAAGGGCGGGGCCAACTCAATATTGAACCCAACGGACTAAGACTGGGGGGCATTACAGGTCATGTTGTGGAAAGGGCGGGGCCAACTCAATATTGAACCCTACGGACTAAGACTGGGAGTCCATTAAAGGTCATGTGCGTGGAAAGGGCGGGGCCAACTCAATATTCGAACCCTACGGACTAAGAATTTGGGGGGCATTACAGGTCATGTGTGGTGGAAAGGGCGGGCCAACCTCAATATTGAACCCTGACGGACTAAGACTGGGGGGCATTACAGGTCATGTGTGGTGGAAAGGGCGGGGCCAACTCAATATTGACCCTAACGGACTAAGACTGGGGGGGCATTACAGTCCATGTGTGTGGAAAGGGCGGGCCAACTCAATATTGAACCCTACGGACTAAGACTGGGAGTCCATTAAAGGTTCCATGTGCGTGGAAAGGGTGGGGCCAACTCAATATTGAACCCTACGGGACTAAGACTGGGGGCCATTAAAGGTCATGTGTGTGGAAAGGGCGGCCAACTCAGTATTGAACCCTACGGACTAAGACTGGGGGCCATTACAGGTCATAGTGTGTGGAAAGGTGCGGGGCCAACTCAATATTGAACCCTACGACTAAGACTGGGGGGGCATTACAGTCTAGTTGTGTGGAAAGGGCGGGGCCAACTCAAATATTGAACCCTACGGACTAAGAGACTGGGGGGGCATTACAGGTCATGTGTGTGGAAAGGGCGGGGCCAACTCAATATTGAACCCTACGGACTAAGACTGGGGTGGGCATTACAGGTCATGTATGTGGGAAGACGGGGCCCATACTTGTGGCAATATAGTGGCATATTAACGACCAGTCATTTATACAGATATAGTGTGTATATATATATCTCTACACAGCAGCATCCAGGAAGTATTCCCAGCCCCCCCCCATGTACAATAAGTCTTCCCAGCCCCCCCCATGTACACATAGCTATTCCCAGTCCCCCCAAGTACATAAGTATTCTCCTAGGTTCTCTGCTGCCTGTTCTCTGCCCCCCCCATGTGCATAAGTATTCTCTGCCCCCCCCCATGTGCATAAGTATTCCCAGACCCCCCCCCGTTGTACATAAGTATCTCTTCCTGCCCCCCCCCCATGTGCATAAGTATTCCCCAGCCCCCCCCATGTACATAATATTCCCAGCCCCCCCCTTGTACATAAAGTATTCCCAGCCCCCCCCCGTGTACATACAGCTATTATCCCATCCCCCCAAGTACATAAGTATTCCTCTGCCCCCCCCATGTGCATAAGTATTTCCCAGCCCCCCCATGTACATAATAGTACCCAGCCCCCCCCCGTGTACATAGCTATTCCACCCCCCCCATGGTACATAAGTATTCCTGCCCCCCATGTACATAAGTATTCCCAGACCCCCCCATGTACATAAGTATTCCCAGCCCCCCCAGTACATAAGTATTCCCTCCCCCCCTCCATGTACATAAGTATTCCCCCCCCCCCATGTACATAAGTATTCCAGCCCCCCCCCCCCCCCCCCCCGTGTACATAGCTATTCCCAGTCCCCCCATGTACATAAGTATTCCCAGCCCCCCCATGTACATAAGTAATTCCTCTGCCCCCCCATGTGCATAAGTATTCCCAGCCCCCCCCATGTACATAAGTATTCCCAGCCCCCCCCATGTACATAAGTATTCCCAGCCCCCCCCATGTTTTAAAACATAAGTATTCCCAGCCCCCTCCATGTACATAAGTATTCCCCCCCCCCCCCCCCCCCCCATGTACATAAGTATTCCCAGCCCCCCATTGTACATAAGTATTCCCAGCCCCCCCATGTACATAAGTATTGTCCCCCCCCCCCATGTACATAAAGTATTCCCAGCCCCCCCCATGTACATAAGTATTCCCAGCCCCCCCATGTACATAAGTATTCCCCCAGCCCCCCCCCCCCCCCCATGTGTACATAGCTATTCCCAGCCCCCCCATGTACAGAAGTATTCTCTGCCCCCCCCCATGTCATAAGTATTCCCAGCCCCCCCCTTGGTCATAAGTATTCCCAGCCCCCCCCCCGTGTACATAGCTATTCCCTAGCCCCCCATGTACATAAGTATTCTTCTCTGCCCCCCCCATGTGCAATAAGTATTCCCAGCCCCCCCATGTACATAAAGTATATCCCAGCCCCCCCCCGTGATTACATAAGCTATTCCCATGCCCCCCATGTACATAATTATTCCCAGACGCCCCCCCCGTGTACATAAGTAATCCCAGCCCCCCCCATGTGCACTAAGTATTCCCCGCCCCCCCCCATGTACATAAGTATTCCCAGCCCCCCCCATGTACATAAGTATTCCCAGCCCCCCCATGTACATAAGTATTCCCAGCCCCTCCATGTACATAAGTATTCCCCCCCCCCATGTACATAAGTATTCCCCCCCCCATGTACATAAGTATTCCCAGCCCCCCCATGTACATAAGTATTCCCAGCCCCCTCCATGTACATAAGTATTCCCCCCCCCCATGTACAATAAGTATTCCCAGCCCCCCCCCCCCCCCCGTGTACATAGCTATTCCCAGTCCCCCCATGTATATAAGTATTCTCTCTGCCCCCCCCCCATGTGCATAAGTATTCCCAGCCCCCCCATGTACATAAGTAATTCCCACCCCCTCCATGTACATAAGTATTCCCCCCCCCCCCATGTACATAAGTATTCCCAGCCCCCCATGTACATAAGTATTCCCAGCCCCCCCATGTACAAAGTATTCCCAGCCCCCCCATGTACATAAGTATTCCCAGGGGCCCCCCCCCCCTGTACATAAGTTATCGCTCTGCCCCCCCCCATGTACATAAGTATTCCCCCCCCCCCCATGTACATAAGTATTCCCAGCCCCCCCATGTACATAAGTATTCCCCAGCCCCCCCATGTACATAAGTATTCTCTGCCCCCCCCCCATGTGCATAAGTAAATCCCAGCCCCCCCATGTACATACAGTTGCAAGAAAAAGTATGTGACCCCCTTGGGATTCACGTGGAGTTTTGCATGAATTGGGCATAAAATGTGCTCTGAACGGTCATCTAAGTCACAACAATAGAAGAACACAGTCTGCTGAACATAATACTAACACAAACATTAGATGTTGCCATGGTTTAATTGCACATAACATGTAAACCATTCACAGTGCAGGGAGGAAAAAGTATGTGAACCTTTGGACTTAATAACTGGTTGACCCTCCTTCGGCAGCAATAACCACAACCAAACGTTTCCTGTAGTTGCAGATCAGACCTGCACAACGATCTGGAGTCATTTTGGACCACTCCCCTCTCACAAAACTGTTTCAGTGTAGCAATAATTCTTGGGATGTCTGGTGTGAATCGCTCTCTTAAGGTCATGCCACAGCATTTCAATCGGGTTGAGGTCAGGGCACTCTGACTGGCCACTCCAGAAGGGCGTATTCTGTGCTGTTGCAGCCATTGTTTTGTTGAATTACTTGTATGCTTTGGGTCATTGTCCTGTTTGCATCACCCATCCTCTGCGGAGCTTCAGTTGGCGGACAGATGGTCGTAAGAATACGTTTTCCCTGCAAAATGTCTTGATAAACTCTGGAATTCATTTTCCCATCAATGACGACAAGCCGTCCAGGCCCTGAGGCAGCAAAGCAGCCCCAAACCATGATGCTTCCTCCCGCCAATGTTTCACAGTGGGGATGAGGTTTTGATGTTGGATGTGCTGTGCCTTTTTTTCTCCACACATAGTGTTTGTGTGTGTTCTTTCCCCAAAC